TTTTCATGTACGCAGGTTGAAGCGACTTCAGCAACGTGATATTTAGCCCCTAGAATGCGATTTTTAACTGGGGACCGATTGGGCTTTTTATTTTTAGCATGTATGTTTAGATATAAATATATGTTTCAACAGCAGTAACCACGAAAATTAGATTACAGAAAACACGAAAAGAAGAAGTCGTGTTCGCTTGAGGAGGTAACTATGGAAACAGCATATGCTGCTAGAGCGCTTGGCTTTCTGTTCAAGTATCGGACACGGACACTACCTTTTATTTATATAGCGCTTTATACAATACAGATTGTGTCAAAGCAGTTTTACAGTGTTAAAAAGGAAAAACGTGTGCTGATAATGCAAGAGGACGATAGAAAATAGTCAGTTTATCAGTTGAAGTCAGTTCATTGTTCAATAATGCATTAGTAAATGTAGAAGTTAACATTAACTAGGATTAATAAATGCTGTAGAATTATTGTTCATGCTTAGTTCATGTTAATTTATACAATACAGATTGTGTCAAAGCAGTTTTACAGTGTTAAAAAGGAAAAACGTGTGCTGATAATGCAAGAGGACGATAGAAAATAGTCAGTTTATCAGTTGAAGTCAGTTCATTGTTGATTTAGTGATGTCATCGTCCAGCTCAATTCATTGCATAGCATAGGATATTATTACTATTATTAAATAATACTATATTAATATTAAAATACTTTTAAGCAAAGCTTTATGTGATATACATGCAATATATAATGCATATTATAGTGATTATCACTATAAAATGCATTATATATTGCATGTAGCCTATATCACATAAAGCTTTGCTTAAAAGTATTTGAGATTATTTGGATGCTAGAGACGCAAATAAATAAATAAATAAATTAATTAATTAATTAAAATCGGTAGCGCTGTGCGAGACGATCAAATTGCGCCCAGAAAATCCTATTGACAGACATAAATTCCCTAAAAATGTTTATAACGTATTTTTCCCCAATCTGGAACATTTTAATGGGAATAGTCTGTGATGTCACCCAGCGAACTTTGTAAATGTTTTCGACAGGCACATACAGTGGGGTGGGGGTGTGTTCAAGTCTGTTTGCCCATGTGGATCACTGCACCCTTGCAAACGAGACGATTACTAATTCAGCACTGACTGTATAATTGGACCGACGGGAAAACCAACGCATCCTGCCTCTATATAAAAGTGAAGATCAATGCAGTTGAAGAAACGTACTCGGTTACTAACGTAACCTCGGTTCCCTGAGATACGGTAACGAGTACTGCGTCGCTAGACGCTACGGGAAACTCCTTTTCTCCTATTTACTGAAGCCTTTTTTTCAATCACATCTGCACTGCCATTGTTTCAGAAATGAACCAATGACGGAGCGGAGCTGCACGAGCCTATGGCGAAGCAGCGCGCCCGAGCCCGCCAAAATAGCACGGCTAGCTACGCAGTACTCGTTCCCGTATCTCAGGGAACCGAGGTTACGTTAGTAACCGAGTACGTTCCCTTTCGATATTTCACTTCGTACTGCGTCGCTAGAACCCAAACCCAGCAAGGATTAAATCCAGCCTAGCGGGAATATGGTTCCTGGAGCGTTTTGAGCTCAGAGAGACAGTTAAGCAGAAAGGACCTGAGCCTGCAAAGCAGGGAGGTCTAGGTTGTAGAACCTGACAAAGGTGGACGGCGAGGACCAGCCGGCCGCCGCACAAATTTCTGCAATGGACACACCACTGGACCATGCCCAGGATGAGGCCATGCCTCTCGTGGAATGTACTCTGACCCCGATGGGGCATTGAAGGCCCAAGGACGAGTATGCAAGAGCTATTGCGTCAACTATCTAACGGGATAGTCTTTGCTTTGTGACCGGAAGCCCCTTGGTGTGGCCACCAAAGCATACAAAGAGCTGCTCAGACTGCCTAAAGGAGGTGGAGCAGTCAAAGTAGATTTTTAATGCCCTGACAGGACAGAGCAGGTTTTGCTCCTGGTCCTCCTGCAAGCGGGGGAGCGCAGAGAGCGTGATTATTTGTGCTCTGAATGGAGTAGAGAGCACTTTATGTACGTAACCATGCCTAGGCTTCAGGACGACCTTGGAGTTGTTAGGCCCCCTCAGAACCGTAGACAGATCCCACGTAGGGACCGTAGAAGGGCGAGGGGGGTTTAACCTCCTAGACCCTTTCAAAAATCGAACAACGAGGTTGTTCCTGCCGACCGATATCCCGTTTATAGCAGCATGAAAAGCTGCTATAGCCGCCAAATATACCTTAAGAGTGGAGGGGGTGCGACCCTTATCCAACAGCTCTTGAAGGAAGGACAATATTGAAGATATGTCACATGTGGATGGATCTTCACCGCGGTTTGTACACCAAGCGGTGAAGACCGAC